TCAAGCGATTGTAGTACCCAGACAATCTGAGCACATGCTCACTAGTTGAGCAATTCTCCTCCATCTTTTAGCTATAGAACTTGTTGGAGACTTCATATCTCTCAACTCGGGTATTTGCTTGAAATATTAACTTCAACTCTTGGAACATCTCATATGGTCCATGATGTTCAAAACGTCTTTGAAGTCCCGATTCTAAGCCGTTAAGCATGGTGCACTAAACTATCAAGTAGTCATCATATTGAGCTAGCCAAACGTTCATAACGTCTGCATCTGCTCCTACAATAGGTCTGTCACCTAGCGGTGCGTCAAGGACATAATTCTTCTGTGCAGCAATGAGGACAATCCTCAGATCACGGATCCAATCCGCATCATTGCTACTAACATCTTTCAACACAATTTTCTCTAGGAACATATCAAAATAAACATATGAAAGCAACAACGCGAGCTATTGATCTACAACATAATTTGCAAAATACTACCAGGACTAAGTTCATGATAAATTTAAGTTCAATTAATCATATTACTAAAGAACTCCCACTTAGACAGACATCTCTCTAGTCATCTAAGTGATCACGTGATCCAAATCAACTAAACCATGTCCGATTATCACGTGAGATGGAGTAGTTTTCAATGGTGAACATCACTATGTTGATCATATCTACTATATGATTCACGTTCGACCTTTCGGTCTCCGTGTTCCGAGGCCATATCTATATATGCTAGGCTCGTCAAGTTTAACCTGAGTATTCCGCGTGTGCAACTATTTTGCACCCGTTGTATTTGAACGTAGAGCCTATCACACCAAATCATCACGTGGTGTCTCAGCACGAAGAACTTTCGCAATGGTGCATACTCAGGGAGAACACTTCTTGATAATTAGTGAGAGATTGTCTTATAATGCTACCGTCAATCAAAGCAAGATAAGATGAATAAAGGATAAACATCACATGCAATCAATATAAGTGATATGATATGGCCATCATCATCTTGTGCTTGTGATCTCCATCTCCGAAGCACCGTCGTGATCACCATCATCACCGGCGCGACACCTTGATCTCCATCGTAGCATCGTTGTCGTTTCACCATCTATTGCTTCTACAACTATCGCTACCGCTTAGTGATAAAGTAAAGCAATTACAGGGCAATTTCATTTCATACAATAAAGTGACAACCATTTGGCTCCTGCCAGTTGCCGATAACTCGGTTACAAAACATGATCATCTCATACAATAAAATATAGCATCACGTCTTGACCATATCACATCACAACATGCCCTGCAAAAACAAGTTAGACGTCCTCTACTTTGTTGTTGCAAGTTTTACTGGCTGCTACGGGCTGAGCAAGAACCGTTCTTACCTACGCATCAAAACCACAACGATAGTTCGTCAAGTTAGTGTTGTTTTAACCTTCTTAAGGACCGGACGTAGCCACACTCGGTTCAACTAAAGTTGGAGAAACTGACACCCGCCAGCCACCTATGTGCAAAGCACGTCGGTAGAACCAGTCTCGCGTAAGCTTAAGCGTAATGTCGGTCCGGGCCGCTTCATCCAACAATATCGTCGAACCAAAGTATGACATGCTGGTAAGCAGTATGACTTGTATCGCCCACAACTCACTTGTGTTCTACTCGTGCATATAACATCTACGCATAAAACCTGGCTCGGATGCCACTGTTGGGGAAAGTAGTAATTTCAAAAAAATTCCTACGCACACGCAAGATCATGGTGATGCATAGCAACGAGAGGGGAGAGTATTGTCCACGTACCCTCGTAGACCGAAAGCGGAAGCGTTAGAACAACGTGGTTGATGTAGTCGTACATCTTCACGGCCCGACCGATCAAGCACCAAAACTACGGCACCTCCGAGTTCTAACACACGTTCAGCTCGATGACGTCCCTCGAATTCCGATCCATCCGAGTGTCGAGGGAGAGTTCCATCAGCACGATGGCGTGGTGACAATCTTGATGTTCTACCGTCGGAGGGCTTCGCCTAAGCACCGCTACAATATTATCGAGGAGGGCTATGGTGGAGGGGGCACCGCACACGGCTAACAGATCAAGAGATCAATTGTTGTGTCTAAAGGTTCCCCTGCCCCCATATATAAAGGAGCAAGGGGGGAGGGGCGGCCGGCCTAGGGAGGAGGCGCGCCAAGGGGAGTCCTACTCCCACCGGGATTAGGACTCCCTCCTTCCTTGTTGGACTTGGAGAAGGGGGGAAAGAGGAGGGGGAGAGAGGAAGGAAAGGGGGGGGGGTGCCGCCCCCTTCTCCTTGTCCTATTCGGACTAGGGGGCGGCCCTGCCCTGGCCTCCTCTCCTCGTCTCCACTAAGGCCCACTATGGCCCATTAAGCCCCCGGGGGGTTCTGGTAACCTCCCAGTACTCCGGTAAAATCCCGATTTCACCCGGAAGACTTCCGATATCCAAATATAGGCTTCCAATATATCAATCTTCATGTCTCGACCATTTTTAGACTCCTCGTCATGTCTGTAATCACATCCGGGACTGCAAACAACCTTCGGTACATCAAAACTCATAAACTCATAATATAACTGTCATCGAAACCTTAAGCATGCGGACCCTACGGGTTCGAGAATTATGTAGACATGACCGAGACACGTTTCCGTTCAATAACCAATAGCGGAACCTGGATGCTCATATTGGCTCCTACATATTCTACGAAGATCTTTATCGGTCAAACCGCATAACAACATACGTTGTTCCCTTTGTCATCGATATGTTACTTGCCTAAGATTCGATCGTCGGTATTTCAATACCTAGTTCAATCTCGTTACCAGCAAGTCTCTTTACTCGTTATGTAATGCATCATCCCACAACTAACTCATTAGTCACATTGCTTGCCAGGCTTATAATGATGTGCATTACCGAGAGGGCCCAGAGATACCTCTCCGACAATCGGAGTGACAAATCCTAATCTCGAAATACGCCAATTCAACAAGTACCTTCGGAGACACCTGTAGAGCTCCTTTATAATCACCCAGTTACGTTGTGACGTTTGGTAGCACACAAAGTGTCCCTCCGGTAAACGGGAGTTGCATAATCTCATAGTCATAGGAACATGTATAAGTCATGAAGAAAGCAATAGCAACATACTAAACGATCAAGTGCTAAGCTAACGGAATGGGCCAAGTCAATCACATCATTCTTCTAATGATGTGATCCCGTTAATCAAATGACAACTCATGTCTATGGCTAGGTAACTTAACCATCTTCACGAGCTAGTCAAGTAGAGGCATACTAGTGACACTATGTTTGTCTATGCATTCGCACATGTATTATGTTTCCGGTTAATAAAATTCTAGCATGAATAATAAACATTTATCATGAAATAAGGAAATAAATAATAACTTTATTATTGTCTCTAGGGCATATTTCCTTCAGAGATAATCTTGCTAAAAGAAGAGAAGTAGAGGATCCTTCCTGCTTATTCTGCTCTGAAAATGAAACTGTTCAACACTTGTTGTTTGATTGTGTGGTAACCCAAAAAGTTTGGGATTTTGTTTCAGAGTTCTTTGGTATTGACAAAATAGCTAATTTTGAAAATACCTTGTCCTTCTGGCAAATGCATAAGAAAAATGTTGTTCTCAATTTAGTGACAACTGCTACCTTATGGAGCTTGTGGAGACTAAGAAACGAGTTTTGGTTTTAGGGGCGCAAATGGAAAAGTGTGAAATGCATTCTTGCGAAACTAAGCTGCTATTTACACCAATGGAAAGTTCTCTGCGATGATGTGCAAGCAACTCTACTACAGCGCTGCATTCTCCTTTTGGACAAACGGTGTGGGGTACTCCTTCGGATCGCATGGAGGTGATGCAGGAGGACACCAGCTGAAAACTGAGGTGGGAGATGATGGATCAGTCCATTCCATGAAGATCTACTTATTTGATCCGTTCTTCTGTGTCCTCTCAACTGGTGCTCTGTAACAAGTAGGCTTGAATCTTATATCTGACGGGCCATCTTGAACTTCTGGTTTGTTGGCTGTAGTTTTTCAGTCATTAGTTAGCTGCTTTGCAGTAGTCTGTTACCTTAAAACTTGTGACTGGTTGCTTTTCTGCTTCATTCTATAAAGTTCGTTCAAAAAAACACGTCTCTCTCGTGGCCACCGCCATCTAAAAGGCCTCGCCGACATCCATCGTTCAGAAGAAACGCACTATGATAGACAGTGGAAGCAAATGCAGCTAGCTAGGACCTGGCTGTCCCAGCTACCGGGGGCCTTTTTCACTATTCTGACCCTTTCAACGAACTTTGTCACAAAATGAACTCGACGTGATAGTATTTCACGATCTGACCCTTTTAGCAACGCCACAGCCCGCGGCGTTTCTGCCCAATATAGAAACGCCGAGGTAGCTAGCGTTTCTGATCAAAGAAGAAACGCCGTGGTAGCTAGCGTTGCGAACCAGGTAAGAAACGTCCAAGGCGCTGGCGTTGCTGCCCATCATTGAAACGCCAATGACCATGGCGTTGCTGCCCTTTTTCATGTGCATGTGGAATGTGGATGAACAGCCTAACTAATAAGGCTAATTAATTATGACCAAAGAGGGCAGCAACGCCATGGTTCCTTGGCGTTTCTATGATGGCCAGAAACGCCATCGCCTTCGGCGTTTCTTACCTGGTCCGAAACGCTATCTACCTCGGCGTTTCTTCTTTGATCAAAAACGCTAGCTACCTCGGCGTTTCTATTTTGGGCAGAAACGCCGCAGGCTATGGCGTTGCTAAAAAGGTCAGATCGTGAAATACTTTCACGTCGAATTCATTTTGTGACAAAACTCGTTCAAAGGGTCAGAATAGTGATTTCGGCCGCTACCGGGGGCCGGAACGGAGCGGACACAGGACACAATGGTTGCGTGTTGCTGACCGAATTGTAGACACATCCCGCAAATACAATTTCGTTTGCCTTTCGTTTCCACCCTGAACTTCAACACGTGTCAAGCCATTATTTGCTTTGACGAACACTCTCTTAGACCGTCTCACCAGATATGCATTCACGTCAATTGTCGAACCGGATGATGTTGGTCCGCTCGAAGTGCTCGGCGACGGCCCTGTAGGTGGCCTGCGTGGGGTGGACGGAGTCCCAGAACATGTACTTGGACGGCGTCGCGCACGTCGGGACCATATCGGTGCACAGCGGCCCCATCTCCAGGAGCCCGGTGCCGCAGCAGCCCTTGCTCGCCTCCACGAAACCTGCACCAGATCGGGCGTACAGCAAGCAGTTAATAACAACAGTAGACGCCGTCTCGTACGTATGCATGGCATGGGATCCCTGCACGTCTATCACTGCATGCGATCATGTGTGGGTGGTCGGATGGGCGGAGGCCCCTACTCACCGTACTTGTCGGGGTGGTCGACCATGTCCTTGAGCGGGCTGTAGATGTCGGCGTACACGGCCCTCGCCCCGGGCGAGCCGGCCTGGAACTCGGCGAGCATCCGCTGGAGCTTGGCGTTGTAGCACTCCGCCGCCGCGTTCTGCTCCGCGATGCACCCCTGCGGCCTCGGCGGCTGCTGCAGCTCGGCCATCGTCAGCTGCAGCGGGAGGCACCCCACCGGCGGCAGCCCCGCCACCAGCATCCTCCGGGCGCCCAGGTCGTACATGGCCTGCATGCATCAGTAGGTACGTGCATTGAGCGCAGGGCCCATTCACATTTGATGCATGACGATGCATGCTTTAAACCACGTACGGTAACAGAATTCATGCTCTCGACTGGTTTCCAGCTCGTGGTGGTGCACAGCTGCACATGACGCATCTGCATTCTACTGTAGGGATGATTATGACGCTTGCTTGCTGGAGCAGAGCGCCCGGACTAGCTACAAGTGGTTCGTGCGTGCGTGATAACGCCACTGTCACTAGCCCAGTGCCTCACCGCCTTTCTTTCATACGATGGACAGGCGCGATTCTAGTGTGATTGCGCGTGTCCTCTTCCCACAAATGCAAGTGAAGATTTGCGGCCACTATCTACGCGTCACGGAATAAGCACACCCAGACATGACAGCTGTTCGTTTGTCAACGCCTACTGTGGTTATAGGAGTGCTATTTTAACTAATCTCTCCACAAAGTGCTCAACTAATTAAGCTCAAAGGTCTTTAGTGGGGGCAGTCAAGCTCGATCTTGCTGATATTTTGGAAAAAAGAGCAAGAAAAGAGATACTTTACCTGTATGTAAGATCGAAGGTTGCCGATGAGGAGGTCATGGTACTGCTCGAGCGTGTACTTGCTCCTCCCCGACGGCAGCATGTAGTAGTTCATCATCATGTCGTTGGTCGCGGCGGACACGAGGAACACCGACTTCTTCACCACCTCGCCGGCCTTCCGGGCGCCTATCTTGCCAAGGAGCTGCTTGAAGTCCGCGAGCTGCGAGCCGAACGTCGCCACGCCGGCGTTGGTGGCCGTGGCGTCGTCGAGGCCGGAGCCGGCGGACGCGAAGCAGACGCCCGTGGATAAGTCCGCGACCGTCAGGTTGGCGGCGCCGGAGCGGTACGCCGGGAGGAGCTCCTTGATGCCGAGCACCTCCACGAGGTAGTCGGTGAGGAGCTTCCCGTCGGAGAAGCGGCCCGTGGGCGCGCCCCCGGGGAACTCGCGGCCGTAGGGCGCGTGGTCGGCGCGGACCATGGTGGGGAGGACGTTGTTGTTGCCCGTGTCGAGCGTGGAGTCGCCGAACGCGAACACGGCCGGGATGTCCTGATGCGGGAGCCTCGGCAGCGGGGCGTCGTCCACGGCGGTCGCCGCGACGGCAAGGTAGACGGCGGCCAGGACGGCGAGAAGGGACGCGAGCTTAGGCCCCATTTTTGGCAAACGAAACGCACGAGTTACGGGGCCGACCACAGTAGTGCAGCTGCCCGCGCTCGTGTTTATATAGCGAGCGTTGCCATTGGCGCGCGCCGTTGCTATCTGTCACGATTCTTTTTTAGAAAGATTATTATCTGTCAAGACGGCCATGGCGCGAACCACTCATCTCAGTAGAGCCAGGGACGATCGAGATGCCATTTGCGGCGACAGCAAAGGACACGTCGAGTTACGTAGCCCCAATTCTGGGCAAAGAAAGGTTGGAAATGGTCCAAGTCATCAGTGCATGTCACTGTGGCACATCATAACACATGTACTTAAATACTTAATCAGGAGGAGCTGTCGACCTCCTTCTTTGCCGAACTGCCAACCAAATCACTGTATACAGATGTAGAAATGAGTAGACGTATCTCTAAAACAACCGTCCGGTTATAAATGGCGGGGGATGGGCTGCTTTTTCGGTTCGCTGATTAATGGTCTTCGGCCTACGGTTGGTTCCCATACAAGACAGGCCCACGCGAGTGTATATATATAAGAGGAAAGTATCGTTTTCCCCCTTAAATCCTGTCTGATGGACCGATTTCCCCCCAAAGTCTAAAACCGGATCAATCAGCCCCTAAACTCTTCAAAACCGGATCAATTCTCCCCCATGGTGGTTTTGCACCAGATTTAGGTGGTTTTGACTAGTCTCCTTGCTGACTGGACAGTGCTGACTTGGCAGATTTCAGATGTTTTCATCGATTGGGGGAGCCGGTCGACCAATCAGCCCCCAATTCAGGTGATTTTGGTCCATGTGCATCGACCAACCTCCCTGTGCCTGTGCCGCGACGGCGTCAAGCACGCCGGCGGCGTCCGCCGACGCCGCCATGGCGTCCGCCCTGCAGCCGGCCTCCACGCCGCCCGATGGTGAGTCAACCGCCCCCCTTTCTTTCCCGTCGAAGTCATCTACTGCATGATCTTAGTTTAGGAGAAATCAGAGCTGCGCTTAGAAGTCATCTACTGCACCCAATTTTGCTGCCATGGCAGGCAGATGGTGGAGGTGTAGGGTAGATCATAGGAAGATTGTTTTTATGGGTAGGTCCTGAGCTATGTAATGAGGTAAAGATTGTTTTTTTGGGCAGGTCTTGTCGATGAGGCAGCAGATGAAGAAGAAATAAGTTATGTGTCACTACATTATTTTGGCAAATTTGAGACAGTGGATGGATTGCTTGTATACAACGGAGGTTTGATGATTACTTTTCCGTTGAATAGGAAAAGCCTTAAGTTTGAGCTTTTGTTGTCTTATGCTGAGGACATGTATCATGTAGAAAGAGGACATTGTAGGGGGGATTATAGTTACAAGATGCACTGGCTTGTTCCAGGGAAAAAACTGAGTGAGGGTTTGCAATTTATTTTTGATGATTCAAGTGTGGAGAAGATGGGGAATGCAACACCTATTGGGTCATGTGCAGAGATCTATATGGAGGAAGTGCAGTTGTGTGAAGAAGCAGTAAAGCAGTTGCAAAACAGAGTAGATGATGTGCCTGTGGTAGATGATGTGCCTGTGGTAGTTTCAGAAACATATTCCAAGCATAAAGGTAGCAGATTTGCATTGGTAAATGTGGATGCTGTGGAGACAAACATGGTCGATGAGATGTTTTTATCAAATGTAGCAGCTTCAGCAGAACAAAGAGCAGAGCCAGAAGTTGTTGTAGGTGTGAAAAGGACAGCTGCTGAGGAAGAAAATTTGAGGATAATAAGTGAGGCTAATGACTTTCTTACTACATTTGAGAGTCCAGTGAAGATTAAAAAAAGTAGAGCAAGTAGAGTTGCAGCTAAAAGAAGAAAAGTACCTCTTGCAGCTCCAGTTTCAGCAACTACATCTTCAGGTGCAGCTCAAGGTGCATGTGCTCCTCCTCCAACTCCAGGTGCAGCCCAAGGTGCATCTTATTCATGTGCGGGTGCATCTTCTTCAGCTCCAGTAGGAAATAAAGCAAAATCTGCAAAGACCAAAGCAGTAGCAGGTACACCACATGGAGGAACAATGCCACAATTTACTCAAGGACAGAACCCAGCAGCTACTTCTGAATTTGAGTATACATCTACAGATCATGTTGAAAATGGAACAAGTGCTAATGAAGTATTACATGAAAATGTAAAAGAAGGAGAAGAAGGTGATGATGAAAGTGACATTGACTACCAGCCTTTGTCAGAGCACAGTTCTGCTGAAGAATCAGAGGCAGAGAAATTAAGGAAATTAGCAAGGGAAATTAGGAGGCAGAAGAGAGAAAAGAAATTAGGGGATGCTGTGGGGCCTGTCATCAAAGATAATAATGTGATTGAAGGATTGTCTGGTGATGAGAAGCTGGATGGCATAGAAGATGATGTTGTGTCATCAGATGATGACTGCTCTTTTGATGAGGAAAGTGATGGTGAGGGGGCCACACAGCTAGTGAGAAGGGAAAGTGAATGGAGAAAATATGACAGCAAATCAGAAATTCCTACATTTGAGATAGGAATGGTTTTTAGAGGAAGACATCAGATGAAGAAAGCTCTAATAAAATATGGCATTAAGAAACATGTGCATATTGCTTTCACAAAGGATGAAAATCATAAAGTAGGTGCAAAGTGTACTTGGCCTGGCTGCAACTGGATGATCTATGCTTCTAAAACTACTAGAAATAAGTGGCTACAGGTGTCTACCTTTGTAGATGAGCACTATTGCATTCCAAGAAGAGATAACAAACTGGTCACATCAACTGTTATTGCTACAAAATATGGCAGGCTTATAAGAGCAAATCCAAATTGGAAGTTAGAAGATTTGAGGAAAACTGTACTTGAGGACTTATTTGCTGCTATGACAGTTGCACAGTGCAAGAAGGCAAAGAGAATGGTCATGCAGAAACTATTGCATTCCACTGAAGGAGAGTACTCAAAATTATTTAATTATCAGTTAGAGCTGCTGAGAACTAATCCTGGAAGCACAGTTGCATTGAAGTTGGACCATAATGGAAAGGATGGGTCATATGTATTTCAAAGGTTTTACATGTGTTTTGATGCCTTGAAGAAAGGTTTCTTGGCAGGTTGTAGAAAAGTTATTGGCCTTGATGGTTGTTTTTTCAAAGGTGCTTGCTATGGACAGATGTTGTGTGCTATAGGAAGAGATGCAAATAACCAGATGTATCCTATTGCTTGGGCTGTTGTGGAGAAAGAAAATTATGAGTCATGGTTCTGGTTTCTTGCCAAAATAAACCAGGACTTGAAAATAAGCAATCAAGGAGATGGATATGTATTTATGTCAGATCAACAAAAGGGACTTATAGGGGCAATGGATGACATTTTCCCTAAAGCTGAGCATAGAATGTGTGCAAGACACATATATGCTAATTGGAAGAAAAAACACCCAGACCATGATCTTCAGAAAAGGTTTTGGAGATGTGCAAAATCACCAAACAAAGTGATTTTCAACTATAACAGGGCCAGGCTAGCACAATTTACTGTTGAGGGTGCAAAAGATATGATGAACACTGATCCAGTACATTGGAGTAGGGCCTACATGAAGCTGGGGTCTAATTGTGATTCAGTTGATAACAACATGTGTGAATCTTTCAACAACTACATCCTATTAGCTAGGTACCTTGCTATTGTCTCAATGCTTGAGTGGATCAGGTGCAAAATTATGGTGAGGGTACAAGAAAATAGAGGGAAGTCAGTTAACTGGAAAGGAACTATATGTCCCAACATTTTTAAAAAACTGAAGCAAAACATAAGGAAATCAGGTTTCTGCCATGTGCTGTGGAATGGGAAAGATGGATTTGAAGTGCAAGAGCATGAGAAATTCAAATTTACTGTTAACTTGCAGCTCTGGACTTGCTCGTGTAGATATTGGCAGCTGTCAGGTTTACCCTGCTGCCATGCCATTAGTGCTATCTATAAAACAGGACAAAAAATTGATGATTATATTGCTCCTTGCTACTCCATAGAAGTGTACAACAAGATATATGATCATTGCTTACAACCTTTGGAGGGAGAGGAGAGTTGGCCTATTTCAACAAATCCAAAGCCACAACCACCTGGTCAAATTAGCTTGCCTGGAAGGCCTAAAACAGAAAGAATGAGAGAGGAAGGAGAAAAACCTAAGGGTACTAAGATGAGCAAAGTAGGTGGCAAGATCACTTGTAGTTCTTGCAAAAGGCAAGGACATAATAGATCAAGCTGTAAGAACAATGATGGAGCTAAACATCATGGAAATGCTCATTTGGTCGATGCACATGGACCGAAATCACCTGAATTGGGGGCTGATTGGTCGACCGGCTCCCCCAATCGATGAAAACACCTGAAATCTGCCAAGTCAGCACTGTCCAGTCAGCAAGGAGACTAGTCAAAACCACCTAAATCTGGTGCAAAACCACCATGGGGGAGAATTGATCCGGTTTTGGAGAGTTTAGGGGCTGATTGATCCGGTTTTAGACTTTGG